CCTACCTTTATTTTTAAATATAAACTCTTTAAAACTTTTGTTATTTCTATCGCTATCGCTATTCCGTTCATTGTGCAAGAGGCTTTACAACTGGTATTATTTCTATCGCTATCGCTATTCCGTCTATTGTGCAAGGGGCTTTATAGATTCACGTATCCTATAGATTGTTCAATAGTCAGTAATAACGGAACAGGACCCAAGTGTCGAGGAAGATCAAGCAACTGAGGCTAGCACTGAGAGCATATATTTTTAAGTCATCAAATTTTTATCATGTCTTGACAATTAATAAAACTTTACAATTATTACTATATCTTGACATAATTTTAATTCATCAAAATTTATTATGTTATTCAAAACATAATAAAACTTCGGTAACTTAAAATAATTTCACGACAATAATAATTGCGACTTTCTCTTACGTCTTGACAGAATAAACATTCGATTATCTAAACTTATATGCTTTCTGTGCTGGCTAGATGCTTCTTCTTTTAGACGTAGTCGTAAGGTCGTAAAGGCCATCAAACATAAAATTACTTGAGAAAATTGACCAATAGGAAATTTACGTCCGAAAATAATGGCGACATAGTATACATTCTGATTGGTCAATTTTCTTACGGTTACGTCTTACGGTCTTAAGCAATTTTATGTGTGATGGCCTTAAGCAAATCGACCAATCGCTGGTCAGCACTCCAGCTAATGTAAGATAATACTGGTCTGTAATTGGTTAAACTGTTTACGATCTTACGGTTACGGTTAAAATTTTTTCACTTGCAATGACCCTTAAGTTTAGTCTTAAGACGCCCTCTAGATTCAGTTTTCTTTCTGAAACGACTTACCTTTTAGATTTTCTCAGTAGGCGACAAAAGCGTTGATAATCTTCGTTACACGTCGAAGCTGTGAAGATAGCAAAAGTGGAGATATCCGGTAATTCACATATTTAGTAGTCAGTCAAAGTTCGGCGCCAACAAAAGTCAGGACATGGAGAATTTGATGGAGAATTTGGTACACACTAAACTCAAAGTCAATTGAATCATCAACATTTTTCTGTATGTAAGTACAATTCCAGACCTCATTTACAAAAGACAGTTCTAAATTGTTATTTATCATATAAACAAAGTAAAAAAAAACTGATTGCAATTTTTGAGAAAACGTAATATTTCAAAATTAAAAATAAATAAGCAAACAATAGTTTCACAAATATAAGAATACAAAGAGTCTCGAGAATATATCTGTTTCCAAAGAGATGACACGTGAAATATACTCAATTATAGGTGAAGGACATAGAAAAGAAAAGACACTAAATTTTCATTTTTCAACAATTTACTCCTAGGCTCTTGTTCTGGCCAGTTTGACTGAGACCGGCGCGCTTGCGGTCCCCTTTTTGTTACATAATACATAAAAATAATGGTATTTACAAATGTAGGAAGAAATGTTAGGCACTCAATGAATAAAAACGGCGAAATTATAAATGGTAGTTTTTATCGCGCGCACCGTGCGGGCGGATGGTGCTGCTTTTGCGGCGTACGACGTATCGACGAGATGATGCACTCAGAGAGCAGAGAGCGAGATAAATTTCAAAGATACTGCGAAAAATATATCGCGGATACGCGATAAACGCGTCAAACAAAAGTCCCAGTAGTGCAATCGGTTGTTTTGTTTGGTTTTTGTTTTCAAATTTTGTTGATCTTCAACAAGTCGATTCGATTGTCGTAGTAAAATGGTATGTTGGAATGTTGGTGGTCGGGTAACAAGCATTTTCACGTGGAATGTGCTCTGCGCAAGGTCTCACACAATTTTATTATTTTTTTTTGTTTTTCTTTAAAAGTTAAGTCGCATTACCTAAGTACCGCAGTGTCGTTTTACACAAACACGTTCCTTTTCCCGTATTTTCATCACTGGCCTTCGCGTTCGTTACAGCGAACGATGCAGACATTCGAAAGAAAGGATTGCCCACTACTCTGATCCTGCGTATATCAGTATGTAATTCGTCCCCGTTATAATTCGGACATATCCATAGACTAGAGTTGTCTCGCAACGTTGATTTAAATAAAAAAAAAGAAAAAAAAAAGAAAAGAAAAAAAACCATAAAACTCGTGTAAAATATTTTACCGTCCGAAAAACACGATTTTTCCCTTTTGTGTCTAGATTCGCGGTGCTCACAACCTTCCGAGACTTACGTGATCCGCTTTGTTTTTATTTTTTCTGGATCCTGTGTTTCATCCCCCACACACGCGCTACTATGTTAAACATAAAAATAAAAGTGATCGCTTTGTTTGCGTGCGAACGATTTCTCGACACACTGCCAGTCTGATATAGCCAATGTCACTTTTCAATCCTACATTATAATGTCTCATCTTCCTCGCACTTAATTGTTATCCATTGATTGACATACAAATTGTTGTGATATATCATTGTTTTCCTGCCAAGTACCTTGACGTAAAAGTCCACATTACGCAGAATAAAATAAGTTACACGATTTGTCTATTTTTTTCTCATTAAAATATTATGATACAATTACAAATATAATGCTCAGAGTATAAGAGCCGTTAGTTGTGAAACTAGAAAGCCTTTGTCGTCTTTCCACGGATGGGATACAATTTGTTTTTGTACAATTGTATGACTTTATACACATATATCTGCATATACGGTTGATATGACTCCGCATTTACGATCGACGCATTTACGCTCACTTATTGAGGTGATCTGCGCGAAAAAAAAAATAATAATAATATCTATTGTGCGGTAACGTTGAGCCAGACACGATCGCCATCGCCTGCGAATCGGACGAATCGAGAGTCGAATAACAGTCTTCGTTCTCTCGATCGATCGTCGACTGACAAAATATAGCGCGTTGTACTATTATTAATAATAAAATTCATAAAACAATACGAAAAATCGCTGTACATTTGGTCACTCAAGAAGTTTCCTTAACCATTATTTATCTAAGTGTTACGTTTAATAGTGCGTAATTACGCGCTAACGGCCCTTAACCCGCTGATAATATCACAGATGAATGAGTTTCCGTGTTGTGCGTTCCGCAACGCTATCTATTGTTTTTAACAAATGCGTTGATCCTCTCAATTTGTTCGTTGAGCGTTTGCTTCTGGTTCTCGAGAGTTTGTTTGACAGACTGGAGTTCCAAGAACTTATGTTCCAACTGAGCACGTTCGGAATGCAACTTGTTGGACTGTTCCATTAGTTTTGATGTTTCATTCGCCAGAATGTTCCTCTCCAGCATCATCTCTGAAAAAATAATACATATGATATTTCGCACTGTGTTTATGATCGTGACAAAGAAAGCTTTTTTTCTACACGTACCTCTCCAGTATCTGCTGTAGGCAAACATAACGTCCTCTATTCCAGACCACCTCGGCCCTGTTTCCTCACCTATTTCCTCAACCATTTCGTCGTTCTCACTATTGTCTACAAATTTACTCGCTGACTGAATGGATTTACTAGCTGGATTGGTCAGTATACTTGTTAATTGAATGGATTTTCTTGTTGGCTGGTGGGATATATTTGCTGACTGAGTAGATTTAGATGCCAATTGGGAAAGTTGATTTACGGGTGAGATGGGTATATTGATTAGATGAGTAGGTTTACTGGCTGATTGGATAGCAGATTTACTTGCTGACTGAGCAGGCTTATTTGCTGATAGAATTGATATACTTGACGGTTGAGCATATTTACTAGATAGGAGTTGATTTGTTGGTTGGGCAAGTTGACTTGATGATTGGATGAGGTGTCTTGACGGTTGGGCAAGTTGTTTTAGTAACTGGGTAGATCTGTCTGTTGATTGAGCGAGATGACTCACAGGTTTAAGTTGTTTCACACCATTCTCACCAGGCATAGGTAAAGGAGGAAAACATCTTTCGATATTAAGTAAGGGCGGTAAAGATAATGGATGTACTGGAATATTGAGTTTTGTTTTATTTTCCAGCAGTCGCTTTTTTAGAGATTGTTGTGGCAAAGATGGAGGATTCTCGGAATAGGCTTTGGCCATTTTGTCACAATAAGCAGTAACGGAGTTCGTGCACTTTCGTTTCTTGCGATCTGTCAAAATGTCCTGCCACTTTTGTTCTGCTTCTGCAATAGCACAATAAAACATCAGCGATTATTATATGCTGTTTTTTAAAATTAATATACAGGAGAGAGTTACACATATAGGATTTTATACAAACTATCTCTATATTATAATTACTCTGTATTATAAGAATATCTTTAAAATATAAGATCTTATATTTACAAATTGAACGTTATCAAGTTTTTTTTTAATAATCTAGTCACCATCTCTTTTCTCCGGAGGCATAATTTTAAGGCCTATAGTCCTGAGAAAATCAACTTTCGGCTCGAAATCTGGCGTGTAGAGTAAAACGTCCGGGTGCTCATTCGGAATCGGTAAGACAGAATCTACCGTAGACTTTACATCCAGAGGTATTACTGGTGGATCGGGATTCAACTTGTGCCTTCTCTCAACCTTACACAATTCCATTTCTACAAAATATAACACAACATATCTATTTAGAAAAACAATACAAAAAAACGCGTTGGCGTTATTTAATGTGTAAAAAGTAAATGCACAATATATTTCTCTACCGTTTTTAACAGTTAGCGTCGTCAGTCCGAATATGGCTAAAAAGGCCAGCTTGTCTTTTGAATATTGTAGTTTAGCTGGCGGACCTTTTGTAATCCAAAGGTCCATGTTTTTGGTTCCTTCCTCATCCTCCGAATCGGAGCTGCACATGACGCTTGTGTTTCTTTCCCTTCTCCGCTTGCGTCTCTTTTCGGCCAGATCGAGGGACGATATCAACTGTCGCGGTATATCAAACAATTGCTTGAACACTATCTTGTTAGGTTTAGGCACGTTCAGCACTGCTGGCTCGCACTGCACGGAAACCTCATTGTTATTGCACTTGTCGGTGAAACATAACGCGGTCGTCTTCGACTCGTTGTTGTTAGTCTTGAAGCTCAAGAGCTTTTCCTGATACTTTGGAATCTGAAGGAGCACGTTTGAAACGTTCTGACAAGTGCGCAACACCTTTTCGGACTTGATACTCTGTATCAACTGCGTTTTGTCCATGGGTTTTTGCGCGATATCACTCTTGCTGAACTTAAAGTTCGGTTGAAGCAATAATGTGGACAATAGATTGTTCTGATCACACTGCATCTTATTATTAAAATCTTCTTCCTGCGTCTTATGTTCTTTCTCGTCCAGATCTTTCTGTTCGTCGCGTGGCACTTGCGGAACCGAAACATTGTCTTGAATTGTTTCGACGTGATTCTGATATGGCAACTGCGGCTGCTTGATCGGACTTTCGACAATTTCGGTCTTTTCGATCACACTCTTTTCGGCAACATTTTTTTCGATCATGCTCTTCTCACTCGTGCTTTTTTCGTTCGCCGTTTTTTCGTTAAGAACGCAATTATTAATCGCACCGTCGTTTCGCGGAATTGCAGCGATCGTGTGATTTGCGACTTTGTTGCCGCCAATAACTTGATTGTTAGCACTAAAGGTAGTGTTGTTCATCTCGTTTGTAACGCAGTTATTGACTGTAGTGTCATTTTGCGAAGTTGGAGTTACCGATGCCGTCTCCGTCGGTGTCGGCGTCGGCGTTGACGTGGTTGTCGTCGTCGCCGTTGTCGTTGTCGTGGTTGTCGTCGTCGTCGCTACCATCACCGTAGTTATCGCTGTCGTCGTTTGATACGTCTCGTTAATAAGATGCGTATTCGGCTGTTGTTGTTTCGTGCTGCTTGAGGTAGTGGTCACTGCATTACTCCCAGTGCTGCTGTGAGTGCTACTGATACTTATCGTCGGTATGTTGAGCTTAGGCTGAGCGTGATATTGTTGATGGGTTGACGACGACGATGAGAAATGCGGCGGTTTGTAAAGACTTGGCACGTGCGCGACAGGTATGTGATACTGTTGCTGCGATGGAAACGGTATCGGTTGGGTAACCACCAGCGTTTGCTGGCTGCTTATAGATTTGTCTATCGTCGGGGAATTCTCCTGCACCGCTTGACTGCTCACCGCTTGGGTGATGGTCGGCATTATAGGAGAGGACTTCATAGATGTGTGCACAGTCGTAGACGCGTGCAAAGACGATGGCGGCTCGTGATGACCAATTTGATTTGCTATGCTGTGATTGTAACTATTCATCATCGATCTTTGATGCGTTTTCGTTGAGGAAGCGTGGAACGAATCCTCAAAGGGCCTGACGAAAACTGGCTGCTGCGATGTTACGATAGTACTCGTCGTGGTAGTCGTGATAATCGTTGTGGTAGGCACCGTTCCTGTCGTTGTTGTCATTACCGTTGATGATTCCTTAATTTTTGGCGCGCTAAACGGACCATGAACGCTATGGGACAGAGGTGGAGATTTGAGGGCGTGATTCGTTGCGTTTAATGTCAACGAAGAACCGTTGGGCGGTGTCAAGACTGCGTACGTTGTCAACGTACTAGGCGTGGAAGTCGTAGTAGTTGTCGTACCGCTTGTATTGTGCGCGCGTTGTTGATTCTGTTGTTGCTGCTGTTGTTGCTGCTGCTGCTGCTGTTGCTGTGGCAACGGGGTTTGTTGGCATTGTTGCTGTTGTTGATAATAAATGGAACTGTTGACCGTGGTGGTCGTAGCTGCGTGCTGACTAGAATGAATGGTACTTGACGGCGCGGGAGGTATATGGAAAGAGGGAATAGAAATAAGAGATGAAATGGGCATGCCTAAGGATAATGGCTGCGGTGTTATCACGCTCGGCGTCAAACTTGGCATGGAGGGTATCGGCGGCGCAGGACCGATCGGCGCTGTGCTTATGGCCGTCGGAGGTGGTGGTGGAAGGTTCAGAGGGGGCAAAGTAGGAGCCATGGGTAGAATAGGAGCTCCATAAAAAGATGGCAGACGAGAATGATAGATGTTAGATGGTGTGGCTCCTGGTGCTACTGTCGCTACCGCAGGATCGGAAGAAGTTGATGATGGAGGTGGTGGTGGTGGAGGTGGTGGTGGTGGCGGTGGTGGTGGAGCGACTGTTGGAGCAGGTGGTTGCTGCTCTTCTTTTCGAGATTGATGGTAACTGCTGTTAGCGGCAGTAGTGATTCCGCCGCTGATATTGCTACTGGTATTACTGATGGCGGCGGTACTGCCACTGCCGCTGTTTTTACTACCACTGCCGACACCACTCTGTCGTTCTCTGGTGTCGCGTTCTCGGTCCCGATCGCTATGCATCTGAGCCGCTATGGTCGGCTTCCTAGCTGAAACAAATCCCGAACACAGTGCTTGGTGATCTTCCACTCGTCTACAATGAACGGGGTTCTGGCCATGGCGATATGTTGTCATTTTCTCTTCTGTTAATAATGTTCTAGATATCTTCTAAACAGTCTTGTACATCTTTAAAGATAAACTCACTGTGAAATTTTAATAATTTAAATGTGTGAGCGTGTCTGTGTGTTAGACATGAATGAAAATAAGAAAATTTGACATACTGCTACAGCCAGGTTTCGCTATCTCAAAGTAAATGGGTTAAACCTAGATAATATATCTTTTTAAGGTAAAATACAGTTATATACTCTTCGGTGTGTCACGACATAGTCTTGTTAGATTCTGAATACAAGCTTGACCGGTAAGTTCGCGCGCGAGGAGAAGCGTTAAGAAAATTATACACATATGTTTCTTATCTAGATTTAATAAAATACAATGATTTAATAATATACTAAATTTCGCAGATTAATTACATCAGGTTAATAGCATCGCTAATTATGCAACTACGCAATACGTAAAACTTTATTTTTTGGTATAATTAGGTTTTTTTTATTTATCCCAACTTACCTTAATATCGCGCTTAAGTATGTTCACACACAGCTATAAGAATATATTTTAATGTATTCGCTTCAAAGTATTGGGGATGATTACTGTTATATTTCCAACAAAGCTAAATATATAAATAACAAAAAACAGAAAACCAATTGTCTAAACTAATGGGGCTAATTGTTCTCATCGTTGTTCTAGCGTTAATAAGCGCATTTTTTTCTTAATGATATATAATTGCAATAAAACAGATAATTGAAACAATTACAAATTATACGGAATCTTCCCCAAAACTGTTTCAGAAAATGATTCGAGGGTCAAGAGAATTCCAAGTCCATTAAAATTTCAATCACATTTTTTGCAAGTTTTATTTTCATTTATAGTCCAAATATACATGTTTACATAATAAATTATATATAAAAATGGTATAATTTTGATAAAAGAACATTTATAATAAAGTTTATATACATCGGTTTATTCAGTCAGTATATATAAGGAGCAACATGTTTACTTTTACAATTAAGGGAAACTATTTGACATTAAGTGGTTAATAGCAAACTTTCTAAAACAGTTGCGGGAACTAACGCAAGAGTGCATTGCGCCTGATGAAAACAAAATTGTCATTTAAATCGTTACAATATTGAATTGAGATTTTTATCCACTTCTGATAATAAGTTCATGCCTTTTCTAAAATTATTAAATATCGATACGCAAATTCATTGTACCGAATGTGTACCAAAACATTAGAATTGTACGGTTTCCCACAATTTTTAGATCGAGATCAATGTCCCGAGAATCTTCTTCAGGAAACACCTTTATTCTGTAACTTATAACAACAGTTTCATTATCGTTTTCGTGTCGTCATGCAGCAATCTTATTACGCAGTTTTGTTCCGCGCAATGATTCGTAACGCGTACGTTAAAAGTGACAGATCCCGATCTTAAAAGTATCTAATGATACGAATATATTGAGATAACAAAGTTTTTTCGAATACTCTTTTTGAAAATTTGATAATCGGACATCGAAATATTTGATCTAAACTTTAATTAGTTTGTTTATTCTTAAATGTAAATACTTACATAAATATAACATGCAACGTATGAAAAAAAGAAGATTTACAAGCCCGAAAAGTTCGTACAGAAAAATGTTGTATCTCTTCGTTAAAGACAACAAGATTTTTTTGCTTCCCAAAACGAGTACCGGAAATTCCGACAAACTTATACCGTACGATGCTTCGGGATCTCGCACATCCATAATTAAACATTATTGCGTTATTTAACAATTCGAGAGACAATAGAGAATGTAATTTATAAAATGCCTAATAAACACTTAACAAATCAATAAACGCTTCGAGGTATAGAATATCGATATACACCCGTAGGTACTTCTACTTATTTTTTTTTTTGTACCTCTCAACACAATACACATATAAGAAAAAAATAACTCGATATATCGGGGAAACATTAAAAATAATCTAAAACGTATTATTTATTGTATATAACAGTAATTCATCTGTCTTTTCGATATACGAGATGTCTCGTAAGATCTTTCGCGAGAAATCGTAAATTTTTTTTTTTTTGACATTTTTAAACTCAACAAAAATAGATTTCTCCTTCGAAAGACGTGCACTCTCATGTTCAATTTTCGCTGTCATTAACTACAAAATGATTGACTATGTAACAAACCTGCTATAAGACAGTAGGTAGTTCACATTCGAATACTATAAAAATGATTAGAAACACATATGCGAAGAACGGATACACAATATATAGATGACTATGTAATATTAAATTTAAAAAAAAAATAAAATAAAATAACAACTAAATCGGGTCTAGAAAAATTGAATTTTTTTTTATAATTTATTCCTAAATTGAAATTAAGATGGATTATACCTATTGCCACTAAGCCCACTTCTGATAGTACTTTCGATGAATATCGAGCCGAAAGACAATAACTTTGCTGAAATTTATACACTGAGCAAACAAGTAACGAACAAATCACAAACTAAAATAAAAAGTTCTGCCGTATATTGTTTTGTAAACAATAGAAACATCGTCAAATAATATATATGCGGGATCTCAGACACACACAAATGAACGTGGTGTTATCTGGTCGCATTTGATACAAAGTGTGTATCTTTTCCTACAACTTCACACATTTGCTGTTTTTTTTTATTTTACGTTCGTTCGTTTACAGTGTATCGTCCATCTTCGAGAACTCCGCTCGGATACGCATATTAACGCTAAGTTTTGTATAAGAAAAACGCGAGTAAATAACTATGTGTGACTATATAACTCTCGTTAAATCTAGATTAAAATTAGAAGCGTAGTATTGTTGTTTTTTTTTTCTTTCTTTTCGAGTTCTCACACCGGGTCACAGTTACATTTCTACAATGACTTCTCCTCGCTCGCGTCCGCCAGTCCGTCTATCTACAGAAGAACTTTGGGTCGATAGTACAGGTCGTTTTTTTTAATTTTTTTTTTTAATTTTTTTATTTATTTATTTATTATTATTTTTTTTTGAACGTCGCGTGTGTCAACTATTTTTATCTCAAGAATACGATCTCATTTGATGAGTACGATTTGATGAGTAAGATTTCGGGATCAAGATTTAAACAAAACAGCGGGCAAAATGAGTACGGAATACATAAACCGTCAACATGTCAGAGTGGTAGCATTGAAAGAGATGCTATATCACAAGTTGGATATGGCTGAATGAGAAGAAATTTGACATTCAAGAAATTTCGCGTGATATCGTGATGACGCTATTGCAAAAGAATGGCAAACGATAGAAAAAGTGCTCACGCGCTTTAGTAAAACGATAGATCGATCGCGATCGCGCTTCGTGATCGACGCTCTTTTTTTTTTTTTTTTTTTTTTTAATAAAAGGCAGTGGGGGGTGGAGCGACTCGCTCACCTGCAGTATCGGTGGATGCAGGTGCAGGCGGGGGTACTGGGGCAGCAGAAGCAGAACTTCTCGCTGCTCTTCTCCTTTCCTCCTCCTCCCGCATAGCCTGCTCCCGTGCTTGCCGCAGTCTATGTTCCTCCTCTAGCTTTAGCCTGGAAAAGAAAAACAAGAACCGCACCGTGATATTAATAATACAGAAATTCGATCGTTTGCTCGACACAGAACTCTCATACTCTCTCTCTCTCTCTCTCTCGCTCTCTCTTTCGTTCTGGATCGTTTTACTTACCGTTCGTGCATCACCGGAGACATAAGACCCAGAGAGGCGGGCGGCGGCGGAAGCATGTCCGCGCTGTATCTCAATCCATAGAGAGGATACGACGGTAGTCCAGGAAACAACGGCGGTCTCAACATTCCGCACCGCTCCAAGTACAATTGTTCCTCTAGCCGGCTACAGACAAAAACGGAAGATCAAAGTTAAACTACAGATAACTATAAAGAGATATCAAAAAGAAGAGTCTTATTGATCATTAGATAGGAGTATAAATAATATCGTCGCTTACCTATAAGCATGCAGATGCGGCGGTGGATAGAGACCGGGATGATAGGGGCTATAGGTAGGGTCTAAGGCGAACGTCGGTGCTGCCGGATGGGGCGGATGATGTTCAGGCCGGTACGGTTGAAAACCGGAACGGGCTAGCAAATCGGAAGCCGCGGCAGTTGCGCTATGTTTGCTGGTTTCAACGGGTCTGGCAGTTGTCGTGTATAAGGAGGGAATCTCTTCGGGTCTTCGCTCGTGCGTCGATCGTTCCTGGAAAAAAAAAATTTCAACGATATTCGTAACCTATTTCTTTCAACACAACAGACAAATAAGGTTTTACACTTCAGGTTTTTAGCATAGAAAAACGACATTTATGGGTATCGATTCGTGAGGAAAGAAATATTAAGTAAGACACGGTCCTGTTCTTGGGAGTTAACAATATTTTCAAGGTGATTTCTTGGAAGACGCGGGGCGACGCAAATTGCCTGAAATTTTCTTCAGCTTATAGTCTCTTCCGCCACTTAGACGTTACGAGCGGTCTCGCGGTTTATTGCCGGGCGTTGTAACGAAGTCGTGCACCGAACCGGCAATAAGTTGCCGCTCGGATGACTGCGCCGTGAAAATTGGTAGGAAGAACGTGCACCTCCGGTCGAATCGAAACACCGTATCGAAAAATTCATTATTGCAAACAAATAAAAAGATCATATTCGGGAAAATTCTATCTTAAAATATCAAATCAAGGTAATAATATGTGAAAATTTCAGTATTATTACAATCTTCTCTACGTTGATTAAAGTAAACATCTACATGTTTGCGTTTAATAAAAAGAATCAATTTGCTCGGATGCCTTTTAAATTAATTTAAAACCGTAAGCGCAAGCTAAGAATAAAAATACATCGATGGATTACTTAAACCAGATTGCCAGACTTAGAGAGGCGCGCATTTGCAATGCAACGACGTGGGAGATACAATCGATGAAGGAAGGGAAGATCTTTGATCTCTTCGATTATCGAGAATTGAACTACCTTATTCGCTTTCCGCCAGAGTAGGCGCCTTTTTCATTTCGTTACCGAGATTGGCTGCGTTTTCGATCTACCTTTGAGTCTTTGACATTCCGCAATCCTGCGAAGCCATTTAATTCGCGTGCTTTCGAAATCACTCTCTTTTCCTTCCGCGCTGTTTGACGCTAGTAATTTTACCTCGCTTCGGCACTTTCGCCATTGATGACGAGCTAAGTCAACGACTAGATATTAATTCCCGTCGTAATTACTCTTCAAGATCGTGTGAGCTCAGAAACGAATCGCGTTAGTGTATTCGATATATGTTCCGGAGAATTTGCCGCACACTTTCCCTCGACTGCGGACTTTTCTACGTCGCAGAATTTAGATGAAAAAGCATTTTTCTGAATTTTTCCGTTTCAAATATTGAATTTCCAGATAGTTTTGCCTCAAATCAATTTTCGTTTTCAGATGATCAATTGATAGATTACTCGATATGCTTCTGATTTTATTCGGTTCGAATGTCTGTACAAAGTGCACGATTTTAGAAAAAATATCTTCGTATGTATGTGTGTGTGACGTAATACTACAAAATAAATCGCCATCATCAGCGGGAGCAAACCCGAAAGATCCCAAAGAACGCGTAAATATATGCACCCTCGTCTCACTCGCGCTCCGCCACACATCCCCCATTTACGACATCCTTCATTGATCCAACCGTACGAGGAAAAAAAATGTGTCCTCGCGAAGACGAGCCCAAGACGACCGATGTCAACGGATTTTTCTCAGTCGCGTTAGCGGTATATCCCGAGCGTTCGTTTTATTATTCCAATCATGGGAGAACCGGCAGAGTTCAAAGTTCCACCTCCGAGGGTGCCTTTGTTCGCGACGAATGCACTTCTTTCCCGGGTCAGAAAAGACCGCGAGAAGGATAAGGCAAAAGTGTAATCACTCACCTTGGCAGGGGAGGGACCTCTGACCAGGGGCGGTGGCGCCCGGTTCTTCGGACTGGCACGGGGTTCCTCTTCCTGAGGTGCTGGGCCCGCTTGCTTCGCCAGGTTCCTCAAGGCTGCGGCGAAGCTTCTGTTGTTCTGCTGTCCGCCCGGTCCAGGTCCCGGGGTGTGACCCTGAGGTTGTACGGAACTAGGTCGGTGGGACTTGCCAATCGAGGTTGGCTGAGCTTTGGTGCTGGCAGGCTGTAGACCTGAAAGGAAGAGGCGAAAGGTCAGGCGGGTCCGTGTGAAATTACACCGCCGCGTGTAATGTGAAATTCTCGTTCGCTGCTTCTAAAGATGCGTACTTGACCTTAACTGGCCTGGTATACGTCGACATGGCATACAGTCGCTTTTAAGGTGGAACAATGACGCGCGCAACGACGTTTTCAATTACTATTGGAAACGATCTGCCAAATTAATTGGTTTGATGAAGATTCAATCGATACATGACGTATCGTTTGAAACACGTCACACGTTCGACTATCTTGATCGAAAATTTAATTAGTCGTGCCATTTGCTCAGTTTCATCGTACGGACAAGGCTCTTATACGTGGTTCGTAGTAATAACTCTCGATAACGCGTACATTTCGTACGCGTTCATAGTGAAAGAGGCGTTATCGAGCAAAGATTAACGAGCGACTCCGTCGTCTCCGCCACACACGTGTATTTTCTTTCTCGCTCTCTCGTATATGGTTAACGAGCGTGCCTCATAATTTCTCGTCGGGTCGGAGGTCGCGCTCGTGTTGACGTGACCCGCCGCGGGGAAGTCGGCTGAGCATGATCGACTTCGTGGGAGATTAATTGCAAAGCGTGCGGCGAGGATATAGAAGAGAGATGGAATAAGTATCACCGAGTGTGTACGCGCGGCACGAAAATTCAGAACAATCTCCAAACTTATAAATCCAAATTATCAAATTATTTGATCAATTATTTATTTTTTCTAAATGTTGAATAATAACATCAGAGAATTTCAATAAAATATATAAACAATAGATAATATAGCAATAATTGTTACAATAGAGAAAAAATAGCGCGTAATAAATTGTAGTAGAATACGCACAAATATTCAGCGACTATGAAAAAAACGATCGCTCATATCATTAAAAAAATATATAAGTATAATGAGCTGAGCACAGCTACAAAGTAACGCGATTTGATCGATCGATAGACTATCAGTATCAAAGGTCTCTTCGTATTTCTGACTTCATAATAAATAAACGTGACGAGTGATAAAACCCGATGCGCGTTACGTCGCGGTAATGGCGGCAATAATTAGAATTTACGACGAAGAACGCCGTGCAAACCGGTAATAAAATATCGTCGGCCGCTGTGTACAGTGTTCGTTAATTAGACAAATGGTGACAACAATTAATCGTCGTTCGCAGCCAATAAAGCGAGTCGTATAATCGACAAAGTATATAGCAATAATTTTAATTCTGACATAATTACAAATCGATCGTGTTAACGTTTCACGAAAGAATGAACTGCGTGTTGATAATAAACGAGGCGAAATGATATTTTTATTGCAAAGAAAAAAACGCAAAACTACGACGTAGTAGTTTGTAAGTATAATAATTAACATTTTAACATTAGCTGCAACCACGCGAAACTACTATAGAAAACAATATCGTGACAAAAGACGTAAAACATCATCACTAAAAAATAAATCATGTTTCCGAGAAAAGAATTGTGCGTTATTAGGTCGTGCTCATTATGAGTTATTATAATTGTAAATAACAGATGCGTAAATATATACGCATCCTCCATTATATATTAAACAAAGCCACGCGCGCGTTGCGACTTAATTATTGTATTGCAATAGAAAGTCCTTGACATCATAGGACATTCGTGGGCATAATTAATTTTTTTCTTGATATTTTGAAATATTGTATACGTCATTGTTAGCATATGTACAAAGTTAACGGTTTTATCGCCGGATAATTGCAAAATATTGACACGTGCATATCCGTTAACTGTGCTAAAACGATAAATAAGGTCAAAGTAATTTAACTCGTTCGATAAATGCAATAAAATATAATAATTTCACTTATCATAATAATTGTTGTGATAAGATCATAAATGTTTAAAATGTAATGCAAATAATTGTAAAATTATAGAGACTAACTTTATATAATTGCAATATATACACGTATATATATATATATAATGTTTTTTAAATAGGTATTTTACATATATATATATATATATATATATATGTATATATATATATGTATGTTTTTTAAATAGGTATTTTACATACTTCTTTACATTAATTTATATCAAAAATTTTATCTATCTATTAGAGACAGAGAAAGGCAATTTATTATATATAATAATTGCATGAAGAAATGAAAAAAATATCATAATCCAGAAGAAATACTTTATACAATTTTGACGATACACTGATTTTTCAAACAACTAACTCGCACACATAAAAGTTTATTTCTTTATATTCTGCATTTAATTTTCTTCGATGACGTATTTCTCCATTGTCTGCATTTCCTTAAAACTTAACAACGCGCATAATAGCATTGATGATAACGCATTACTGTTCCTCGAATATTACAAAACCTACCAAAGAGCTCGCTAGACATTATCAATGCCGCAGAAACTGTCGACGGAGATAACAAGAATAAGAAACAAAAATTATTCAGATAGAATTTTAAAAACTTTCAGAAAAAAAAGAAAACCGATCGCGAAAAGCAACGTGGGACTAGAATTGTAACTTCAAATCTCGTTTTTTTAGAGTTAGCGATGCGTGCGAAGAGTCTTTTGTCTTTTGTCGTGAAGAAGCCGAGGTTTTTTTCCTACGCAGAGAAAAACGCCTCCGGATGAACGAGAAAATAACAAAAAGAGATATTGCCCGATAGCTTTTACCCTCTTTCGAGGGAGTGGTCTGTCCCGTCGATGAATTCTTCATCAACGAAGTGCAGACATCTCTTCGCGCTACCAGTCCCCTCTTCTCTTGTTCTTTGTCTCTTTCTCTTTCTCTCTCTCTCTCTTCTCTCTGTTTATTGCTATCTTCATCGCCATCTTTATTTATTCTTTTCTTTTTCGTTATTCCCTGAAAGCAGAATCGAACTCGCTCGTATTGTTCATACTTTTCTGCGATCTCGTCATTTGATTTTGTTCAAGTGTCCGTTCATCGTTCGCCTGTCAATCTCACAGTAATCGAGAGAAGGGAAGAAGTTAATGGGATAAGTGACATCGAAATTACAAGTTAACGACTTGTCATGAAAATTGTTAACGACGGAGACAAAAAATATCCATCATCAGAGTTCTTGTCTAGCAGTAGTGCAGTTGATGAGTGTCGCACCGAAGGGGTTCGTCTACCTCGTGAGGAGCACTCTCATTTAACGGCAGAGTATCTGCCGCTTCGCGTTCTTCTCTTTTGTTCTCAAACCCTCCCGGTCGGTCTCTTCCCACATTCCACCCTCTCTCATTTGAATAAACCGCGAGATGTCGCGTCCGACATAGAATCCGCTCGCGCACTTCGTCGCCGAAACTTCCGACCGCAAGTTCCTCCCCTTTCTCGCAGAAGCGGAATTATCGCTAACTTATCCTCCCTCCGCGTCTCCGCTATTCTTCATCACGCTTCATCACGCTAATCGCCTCCCTCTCTCTCTCTCTCTCCTTTTCTCATGTCCATCTCACTATCTCCGTCGTTCTTTTTTTTCTCCTCACTTCGATACATTCTCGCAAAGGAGCGATCGTTCGATGACAGACGAGAGATAGTCTCACTCTCCCAGAGGACTTCTCGCCCGCTCGTTACCAACGAGAGGGGTGAAAACGTGCCCGATCGCGCGTAGCAGGGGAGAAGAGTGACGAGAAGGGATATAGAGAGCGAAGAGAAGGGGAAAACGACATTTACTATCTCTCTGTCGCGAATATCACCGCGGGGTGGGTTGACTCCGTGTGTCGCTGCCACGAGGATTCCGTTGGGTTCAGAAGAGGAGGCTGTGACGAGAAAGAGAGAGAGAAAGAAGGGGAGAGAGTGAGAGAGAACACGGCCGCTGGGGTGTTAAGCGGCTTACAGTCTGTCACCATGGTAACGCCACACCACTAAGACAGGAAGAGAGCCTGAATCCGGCCCGTTACGGTCCCTACCGACTCTCTCTCAATACACCCCATCAACGGCGCTCTCTCGTGTTCCCGCGAAAGAGCAAAGAGGAGGAAAGCGACGACGAGGATGATGACGACAGAGTGGGGAAGGGAAAAGGGTGGAGGAGAACGAGCGGCGCGTGGAAGGGGTTGGTGGCGACCGGATTACGCCACTAACTCTGTTTTTACACCGAAGTGTTTTCACCGGGCTCTTCCGATACACAAGGCGTCGCGTAAATCGCACCTCCCTCTTCCTTTCCTTCCCTCCCTTTTTCGCTCCATCTCTGTCTTCTCTTTTTTCTTCTCGCTTCTCGAGTTAAATCTTCGAAGTCGCGGAGCTTTTCTTAGCGAGAAGTTGACCCGCCACCGATCTCGGTAATTTCTAGTTTCGAGACGTGAGCTGCTGAATAATTTATATGGATGTGAAATAAAACAAAGAAACAAAACTTTTCAAAACTAAACGTTAACTGTTTTGAATTTTTAAAAAAAACAAGAGATTTTCGGAGTTCTCACGTCGGGCAATAAACGACGCGACGAAGATTTGCGAAAAAAGTTCGCGCTAAATTATGTAACTAAATACACACTACCGCAGTAGTCACACGCGGCGCGTAGAGACCGAGAGAGTATCGCTTAATCTCGCGTGTCGTCGCCAACACTGTATGGCGCGCCTTCGCGATGAAGTTATTGCGATTCGCATTTACCGGATCATTATACACGTATCTCGGATTATATAAAGGGGCGGCTGGGCGTAGCCAAGAGTTTTGCACGATAAGAGATTCGAACGCAATGGGGCGTTCGAAAAGTTCGTGAAGTACTCGAAAGCACGAAGTTTCTCGGAGAATAATATGAGTAACATTTTTTGTAACCACAGTCCCCCAAATAGCGAGTGACTTATTGCTCAAGCGATATTAACTCCGCGCGATGTAACTTCTTCGAACGGTCAATAAAACACCATTTTATTAAGCGGAGATTTTAATAATTGTCACATCTTTCCTCTGCAATATACATTAACGCAATAAAATTTATTCGAACAGCGAAGCGGAAATATAAAACGATCGTAACCTAAAAAGAGGAATGAATTTATATCATTTAGATCAAAGGAAATTCT